GTTTGTTCAAATCCCGGCATGTTTTTTGGATACTCACAAGGGTTTATGGACTGGCAAATGGTTCTACTCTTGGGTCTTTTCGTCCCTGAAATAATGCACGATAGAGGCACTAAGCTCTTTATTCACTCAAAAAGCCGTATAACCTAAACAGTGTCGGCGTGAATTGAAATCCAACAAAACAAATTAAACATTACGTACAAAGCTTTGACTTAGTTTGGCGGTTAAACTTTCTCACAGATTTATGCGCTTCAGTGCTAAAAAATATTTTATTTAATACAACGGTATTAAAAGCTTTACTAGTTTGGTTTCATTATATTTCGACAAAGTTAACAATTATTTCGTGACCTTTCGACATAACTGGTAAAGATGGTAGAAGACAGTTAGGGACACTTGACTGATAATCTGAAACAGTTAACTAGCCAGAGAGGTCCTCGAAAAATGGAGTACATCATATTCAGTACAATGTTCTGATTAAACACAATAATTACTATTTTATTATTAATTATTTCCCTGCTGGAACCGAAAGTGATCAGCTTTTGTCACGATCAAAGTCTAAGGTTAGTCTGCACAACTTGACCGGGCTCTTTAAGTCTGTTGCTTAATTGGACTGTGTTAGAATTACCATATTGAAATGAACGGACTGTTCCATATACATATATTAGGAAAGCAATGTATTAGATATAAAATTTCAGCCACAACAGGTTAAACATGTACTGTTATAAGTAAACAAAAAATAAGTATAACAATTCTAAAATAGAAAATCTCGACACCTTTACGAAGAGCAAGCTACATTTATGAACATTTGTAAACATTTCCTGTTTTAGAACTAACAACATTTTTCTACTTCCATATTCCTTAAAGCGAAACAAATTAAATCAGGTACAATATTATGATTATAAGTTTAATGAATACCTCTTCAAATGCAAAATTGATATAAAATTTGAACTGCGGTACTAACCCTTGAACATACATGTATGCACTAGAAGTTTCTTGAATAACTGTTCAAATATAAAATTGATATAATAATTGTACTGCGTTCCTTAAAACGGTACCAAACATTGTTAAATTCTTTTCGTCAATTTATACATTTGATATAGGATGTGTTAAGGGGTGGTTGTATTCATATTTTAAATTTGCTAAAACTGAATCCTAAAGGGATTTATAAAACCGTTGCAAATGGTATTGAAATATCTCGCAACATTTCAAAAGGAGGCAAAATAAATCATTTATAATTATTGTAAGCAGTTGTTTTTTTAGATTCATGTTGTTTTTTAATATGCAAAATGAATTCTTAAACTATAAATTAAATAATTAAATTATAAAGGGGAGTCAAAATAAATCATTTAGAATCATTTCGTTTTCCTTTAACATATGCAATTTATATATCATAAATATCTTAATTGCTTATGTATTAAGTCGTCGGATGCTTTAAGTATGATAATAAAAATAAACAAACAACAAAAGGTGTTCCACTTTCATGAAATTTGATTCAGAACAAGTCATAATCTAGAGGCAAATTGTTCAAAGCAGTGAAATTCAAACACCTAAACTTTAAGTGCAAAATGAGAAGAGAAATTTACCAGTAAGAAACATGACCACCTATAGCAAGTAAAACGTGTACCGTAATAAAATTATTTAGGATAAAGGAGCGAAATTGTTTTTCTTTAAAAAACTATTAACGTGAATTGTTATTATTTTGATATTCAATCAATTGTTTATTATTATTTCAATATCTAATTAAATGAAAACTTTCAATAAGTTGTGATAGAAGCCATGAGTGAATTAATTAAAATTGAATCATTATATGGAAAAAAAAACGACAACTGTCGTCTCTGCTATTTGCTATTTAAAGACCATTGTTACTTATGTTTATAAATCATTCGAGGCGGCAAATTTACGTCTTTACTTTCATACAGTTTAAAGAACACGAATACCATAGAGTAACGGCTAATGTATCATTATATTATATAATGTTAATATATTGCATGACAATACAGATACAATACTTGTCAAGCGATTCAGTAACCATAACAAAACACAGGTCACTGATTCAATCTATTATCAGATTTAAGTTACTTGTAGTAATTCGATGCTAAATATTACAAAAGAAAAGCACACTATAATGAATTTTGAACGAGTGCAAACATTTTTAAATAAAAAGAACCATAGATAATTAAGATGCAATAATATAACAATTTAAATCATTTCTGCTGTGTTCCTATCATTTGACTATGTTGTAGTAATGTACTCATTTATCAACATGTTTACATCTCTCAAAAATAGCTCTCCGGAGTGATAACGATGATGATATGGTAATGATGGTGGTGGTGATGATTATGATGATTTAAATAATGAAAGACGTGATGATGATTTTGTTAGTGACGATGATTATTATTAATAATGTTTTTTTTGTTTATTGTTATTATTATTATTATTATTAGGGCATGTATATTATGATTTTAATGATAACTATAAATTCAAATATAGAGATAAAAAATTTTTTATAATTTTGGGGACGACTTTGACGGCGAGATGATAGTTAAATAATTGTGATGTTGATGGCGATGCAGTTGATGGTTTTTAGACTTTGATGATGATAATTATGATGATGACAATACAAGTTAACATTTTGACACGGTGACAATATTGTTTTAATTATGTTAACAAATGACATGACGGGTAGTTTTATTCGTATAGGCATAATTCACGAAGTCGATGCATTTTATTTAAGAAATAATATATCCCAAACAGTGATTTTATCGCTCAATAGCATCACTGTTTGGAGTTCGGATGCGAGGAATTATAATGATAATAAGGATATAATGATGCGCATCCGAACGACAAACAGTGATGTTAGCAAGAGATACAATCACCGATTTGGATATAATATTTCGATTCTAACAAGACAACATCAAATAAATGCTGCCGTACATGATATTAAGCTAAATTGCGCCTGGTTTGTTTCCGTACTTATTTTCAGCGCGTCACATTTTAGTGGTTACGTCATGTGTATAATGATTACGTCACATGTCTAAATATAGAACGTCAAACAGTGATTTTATTGCACAATAACACACACTTTCGGTTGTTCTTTGTTTAATAGGGAAATATGCGGGTCGTGTTAGAATAACGAATAAGTGCTTTATTCCTTGGAGCGTAACGATAAAGTTCTAAACCTATATGTCGATAGCAATATGTGGCCCAACATACCAGTCGTAGGTAGAAAACAATTAACTATAGGGGAATACGTTTTTTCTAAATTCTTTAAATTGTTCATAACAATACTCTTATATGTCAATACATGTACCATTTAAAGCATTAACTTAACTGTGTGCAAATACGAATGTTAGACCAAAAAGCAAGTCATAAACATAAATGAGGGTTATACGAGGGCTTATTGATAAATTCGCGAAATTGTATTATTTCTTAAACATTAAAAGAAAAACTAACAAATAAATTACACCACGAGATACCTTTACTCTCGACTGACAAAAAGCCAAATAAATCATTGAGATATATTGAACAATAAAGTTTACATGCTGCAACATCAAAACACTACACTATTCTACACATGAAGCATGCCGATACGACGTTGTCACACTCTGAAGTCACCTAAACGTCAAAGTCTCATGTCCGGTTCAATTTTTCAACGTAATTACCCTCGGTGGTAACAAATTTCTAAACTATCTCGCGCGCCCTGGTGCGTAGCTCAAATGATGTTTCAAATAGGTGGCCCCTCAGTTCCTTCACTAAGGCTATGTTTCCAACAGTAACTGTAGACGTCGGCGGACCATTTCTTTTGTCATCATACACGGATGTTATTCCTTCACTAAACCGCCCATGGCATTTATACACATATGTCTTTCCACCAGTAAGCACTGTTTCCGAATTTTCTATCTTTTTAAGAATTTCGCTCGGTGAAAGTTTCAGTCCCACACAAAACTTGACAACAGGGCGTAATTCAATGTCGTCTGCTGACGTAATTTGCCTTTTGTTAGACATCGAGGTTAACGCTGATGCTAAACAACCGTTCAACACATCGTCTTAAAATTTACAGGAAATGACGTCAAGACGTCACACTCATGTTACACGCGTTAGCGCCAAATTTGCTTAAATTTTCTTCCCGCAGTGACATTTATATTATATCATGTATACTTTAAAATACAGCGTGCTTCTAGTCACAGGACAGTGGTTGCTTTGGACACGGTGTAATCGTAGGAAAATTTTGAAATATATTTGGCAATATGGAAATGTAATTGCAAACATTTTGGCTTACCTCTATTCGAGTTTTCATGTAATTCAATAAAGTCATTTGGTTTTTAGAGGATAATTCCGCGAATTTATCAATCAGCCCTCGTATTTAGAGATTTTAATGTGTCATTTGCTATTGTTTGATGTTGTCGCTACGGCTACAATATCAGGTACCATTGAGCATACAAATGCAAGGGAGTTGTACCCCTATTTCTTTATTTTTATTATAAATCTACAAAAGTTAAAAAAAAACAAGATCATTACTTGTTTGATAAAAACGAATAATTTGGCAGACATTGATAAATAGATAAATCGATATGCGACCCACAAAATATTTATTTCACATATATCTTTGGTTCACTCACTGTTTAAATTATAAACAAACTAACTATTTATTGAAACGATAATGTTTGCAGAACTAGGCTCTATTTTCTGTATCTTGTATCTTTAATGTAAGATTGTAACAAAGCAGTTTAAAGAAAATGAAACAATTACATGATTGATTATTTGCACAAATGAAGTATTAAACAAAAGTGTCGGACCGGACAGCAATCTTAACACATTATCTCAAGTTTCTTTTCTTAAGGAAATCTGATCAATTACAAGCATATTAATAAAATCGATTAATATAATGATCAACCTTGTGAAATCACCATTTGAATGATTGTAAAAAGCCAAACAGAAACATAATATTCTTTTTTAAATATTTTTTTCTCTAATTCATTCATACGCTTTATCTATAGATAGGCCATTAATTTTGATATTGTATTGTTTCAGGTATGATTTGTTGAATTTTCATTGGCGAACAGGCAAGTGGCTTCTTCAACCGCGCGATTATAATAACGTTGAAACTTGTGATTCAAAGTATTTAAATTGAAGAAAACGAGGCAATCCATTGTACTAATTTATTTTGGACAAGATTGTTATATTCGTTTCCATTAAAACAGTGGACATGAAAGAATAGTAAAGATGAACCTTTTGCAAGATGTCAATACCACTTGATTGAAAACACCATAAATGGATTAAAGAAGACGCTTTACCGTAAGTTATATATTCTAATATACCTAACATTTAAGTTAATGTATTCTGTATTTAGCAGGTGTCACAGGGTGAGAAAAATGTACAGCCTGACCGGGACTTGAACCCGGGACCCTCAGAATACCGTACCGCGGCTCTACCGACTGAGCTATCCGGCCGCTTACACATCATCTCCCCTAAATAAGTGAACAGTTCTGAACCGTGACATACTCCCCTGTTATGTTGAAATTCGTCCTCGAATTTCACAGAGTTACAGAGCAATGTAAATTAAACTCTGAGCTATATCAGTCACGGCCCACGTTGGGCCGCCAAATGTCACAGGGTGAGAAAAATGTGCAGCCTGACCGGGACTCGAACCCGGGACCCTCGGTATACCTTACCGCGGCTCTACCGACTGAGCTATCCGGCGGCTTACACATCATCTCCCCTAAATTAGTGAACAGTTCTGAACCGTGACACAGGCATCATGGACGTCACATATTTTTTGTTGGGTTTTCTTTTACAAACACATTTTGCGGGTTTTTTTCTATTATTATGTCACGCCTACATTGTTTGTTTCGTGTGGTTGCCTTAATATGTCTTTTTCACGGACGTAAAAAGAACCTGTAAATTCAATCAAAGATGTTAAAATTTCGATTCTTGAAGATTTTTGTTGTGTTAGTGGGGGCATAATAACTTATAATCCCCTTTCAAAAGTCCATTTATTTTCCTTTGCCCATTATTGTTATGGTAAATCATTTTTAGTTGAAATGATGGGAATCTAGCGGTCAGATTGCAGGTTCCATTATAGCCGCCACATGAGCACACTTGCGGTTGTTTACGAACTACAATCAAAGGGCTGCAAGCTTTGTGGTATTTTCTGATCTTTTCAATATAAATCGTACTGTATATCTGTATGTATTTTCCTGTATAAGTTTATTTTTATGTACTATAATTCATCTAGCAGGACACCAGAGTTTGATACATACGGAATTTTGCATGACTAAAGTTGCATCAAAAATCATTAATGTTCATTTATTTTATGACAGCCACACTTTATCCTTGCATATCGTGGCTACTTCCTTAACAAAGACACTTAAAAAATAGCTACCTCGACTGGGGTTTGAACCCCAGACCTCTCACACACTAAATTATCCCTGCACCACAGGGAAGTTATACCAAGAAAGCCTGAATAAAATCAATAAAATCTAATAGACATCTGTATCACTGTTGATCCATTTTAATTCATGTACCAGCTTTATTTATAGCATAAATATTTGTTTCTACATGTTATCATAGTTTTGCCGCTAAACGCCATAACGTTTTTCGCGCGTTTAACGCGTGTTCCGTTATGACGTCGCTTCCGGTAATTTTATTATGTTTTGCACTGATGAAGGCATATAGCCGAAACGTTTGCAGTTAAATTAAATTACTAAATGTTCGTGTTTGTGTGGCTTGTCTGATTATTGAATAAAATCAACAAATTCTAAATTTAGAATTTCTATTGCATTTCGGGTTTGTAATCCTCCTTATAAATTTTGAGGTATTTTGTTCACAATAAGCCCGTTGTTTAACATTGATGTAAATAATTTAGCGAAAATCTTTTCGCCAAAACAATCCGACATGTATATATTCCACTACTCGACAGTCAGATTTATCTGAAGTATTCGGTAGTCGACATTGCTAAAATAGCATTTTCATTTATTAAAATCATATTCATCCGCGTATTTGTGATTGTGCATTTATTGTCAGTTCTATAAGCCAGCGCTACTTTTAAACTTTGAATGCGTTGTGATTTGTTGAATACTTGTAACAATATAAAAATATTTGCTTCTTTTAAATCGCTAGTTTAAAGCTGTTTTGAGAACTACTTGTTGTTAGGTTTGTCGTTAAGCGATGTGTCAGAGATTGAATGTCAGCTTTATAAATTCTGATCTTCGATCAGAAAATACAAAAATATATCCAGATAATATTGAAATGTTGAGTTCTGCCCGAGCCGGTGATTTTTCAAATTATTTTTTTTTAAATTTAAGCTATATCTATTTCAACGAAATTATTCTGGTTAAAAGAAGGCAGTGTTTTTGAAGCACTTGTTTATACACAAAAAAACAAGAATAGCCCAGCCACCTGGGTTCATTTTACTCTCACTTTGTTGCATTTAAACAAAATGAAAAATATATCCAGTGTATAAGTGATTTATTTATTTTTCTCAAGTTTTCTACTGGGAACAATTGCCCCTTCTGTGTTTATTTTGTATATATGTGTGTGTTTGTCTGTATCTGTTTATGTATGTATGTATGTATGTATGTATGTATGTATGTATGTATGTATGTATGTATGTATGTATGTATGTATGTATGTATGTATGTATGTATGTATGTATGTATGTATGTATGTATGTATGTATGTATGTATGTATGTATGTATGTATGTATGTATGTATGTATGTATGTATGTATTTATGTATGTATGATTTAATGATTTGTTTGTGTTTTAATTGACATAACCTTCCTTGAAACATGTATTTGTTCTTTTTCAAATATACGTTTTAGATAAATTCAAGTAGCCTTAATGTCCTATCTTTGAATTGTAGAGGTCTTAACGGTTCAATAAAGAGAATTGAGTTATTTAGATTTTTTTTGAAGCAAAAAATTGTAGTATTTACTGTTTACAAGATACACACTTAACGTTAAATATGTATAAAAATATAATAAAAATATATACTGTGAACGGAATAGTGAATGAACATTCAATTCACGGGGAGTTGCAATTCTTTTTTTATCAATGTTGTTTTTAGAAACACTTTTAATGGAACTGAGAGGGACAGCTATATCTTACTGCAGTCAACTAAAAACTAGAACTGTGTCCAAAGGACACGGATGCCCCCACTGACAACATGTATATGGTATATAGTGAAAAAATCAACAAAGGGCCATAATTCTCTTAAATTTGGTCGCAGCAAAAATTCCTTCCTTTACTACCATCTACACATTAAGGTTGTTCATCCCTGAAAGTTTAAGCAAAATCTGCCACTTGGTTTAAGAGGAGTTGCGTTCACAAAATTTCTATATGGTATATAGTGAAAAAATCAACAAAGGGCCATAATTCTGTTAAATTTGATCGCAGCAAAAATTCCTTCCTTTACTACCATCTACACATTAAGGTAGTTCATCCCAGGAAGTTTAAGCAAAATCTGCCATTCGGTTTAAGAGGAGTTGCGTTCACAAAATTTCTATATGGTATATAGTGAAAAAATCAACAAAGGGCCATAATTCTGTTAAATTTGGACGCAGCAAAAATTCCTTCCTTTACTACCATCTACACATTAAGGTTAGTCATCCCTGGAAGTTTGAGCAAAATTTGCAATTTGATTTAAGAGGAGTTGCGTTCACAAAATTTCTATATGGTATATAGTGAAAAAATCAACAAAGGGACATAATTCTGTTAAATTTGGTCGCAGCAACAATTCCTTCCTTGACTACCATCTACACATTAAGGTTGTTCATCCCTGAAAGTTTAAGCAAAATCTGCCATACGGTTTAAGAGGAGTTGCGTTCACAAAATTTCTACATAGTATATAGTGAAAAAATCAACAAAGGGCCATAATTCTCTTAAATTTGGTTGAAGCAAACATTCCTTCCTTTACTGCCATCTACACATTTAGGGTGTTCATCCCTGAAAGTTTAAGCAAAATCTGCCATACGGTTTAAGAGGAGTTGCGTTCACAAAATTTCTACATAGTATATAGTGAAAAAATCAACAAAGGGCCATAATTCTCTTAAATTTGGTTGCAGCAAACATTCCTTCCTTTACTGCCATCTACACATTTAGGGTGTTCATCCCTGAAAGTTTAAGCAAAATCTGCCATTTGGTTTAAGAGGAGTTGCGTTCACAAAATTTCTATATGGTATATAGTGAAAAAATCAACAAAGGGCCATAATTCTGTTAAATTTGATCGCAGCAAAAATTCCTTCCTTTACTACCATCTAGACATTAAGGTAGTTCATTCAAGGAAGTTTAAGCAAAATCTGCCATTCGGTTTAAGAGGAGTTGCGTTCACAAAATTTCTATATGGTATATAGTGAAAAAATCAACAAAGCGCCATAATTCTTTTAAATTTGGTCGCAACAAAAATTCCTTCCTTTACTACCATCTACACATTAAGGTTATTCATCCCTGAAAGTTTAAGCAAAATCTGCCATTTGGTTTAAGAGGAGTTGCGTTCACAAAATTTCTATATGGTATATAGTGAAAAAATCAACAAAGGGCCATAATTCTGTTAAATTTGGTCGCAGCAAACATTCCTTCCTTTACTACCATCTACACATTAAGGGTGTTCATCCCTGAAAGTTTAAGCAAAATCTGCCATTTGGTTTAAGAGGAGTTGCGTTCACAAAATTTCTATATGGTATATAGTGAAAAAATCAACAAAGGGCCAAAATTCTCTTAAATTTGATCGCAGCAAAAATTCCTTCCTTTACTACCATCTAGACATTATGGTTGTTCATCCTAGAAAGTTTAAGCAAAATCTGCCATTCGGTTTAAGAGGAGTTGCGTTCACAAAATTTCTATATGGTATATAGTGAAAAAATCAACAAAGGGCCATAATTCTCCTAAATTTGGTCGCAGCAAAAATTCCTTCCTTTACTACCATCTACACATTAAGGTTATACATCCCTGGAAGTTTAAGCAAAATCTGCCATTTGGTTTAAGAGGAGTTGCGTTCACAAAATTTCTATATGGTATATAGTGAAAAAATCAACAAAGGGCCATAATTCTGTTAAATTTGGTCGCAGCAAACATTCCTTCCTTTACTACCATCTACACATTAAGGTTGTTCATCCCTGAAAGTTTAAGCAAAATCTGCCATCCGGTTTAAGAGGAGTTGCGTTCACAAGATTTCGGGACGTACGGACAGACGTACGTACGTACGGACGGACACTCGGACGGACAAGTGCAACGCTATTTGCTCCCACTCTGTGGGGGCATAAAAAGAAAGAAATTATGAAAAAAGTATAATAAAT